TCTTTGAGCTTCATCGTACCACGTGGAACTGACTGATCCTGCATTGTAAAGCGTCATCTTAGTATTACTAGATTTTCTTATATTCACTGTATAAACACAACACGCCAGACTGAACTTGTAACTACATAAAACTGTACAGAATAGTAGCAGCAGAAGAATTGAACACTTATTTTTGTTTCACTTTTCCTTTTTTCATACATTGTGCAATATGTTTCCCCTAATTGTTTTTTTAAGCACTTATGAAAGTTGAGTTTGTTTCTACCTGACCAAGAAAGCTTAAAGAAATAGTTTCATTTATTGGGAAATACGGTTATTTGCTTTCTTGCTGAGTCAGAGAAGATTAAGACCACTCTCATGCCTGTATGCTACATATGAGGTTACAGCTAGCAGCCGGTTAGCTTAGCTTGGCATTAACAGCTAGCCTAGCTCTGTCCAATGGCAACAAAATCTAGCTAACGCTCAATAATTAAAGGTGCTGTGAGCAATATTTTTTTTGTTACATAGCTGTACAACAGCCATCACTGATAACATGGTCTCCCAGTCCCTTTCTACAGTACACAAAGAATACACTTTCTGGTATCCTGGTCCCACTTTATCCAATCAGGAGAGGTAACTTCACAAACGCCTCAAGGGCAGGCAGCAGGATTTCAGTGTGGTGATGAGGAGAGCGCTAACTGCAATAACGGACAGGAAATTAGCCAAAATGCAGATTTCACTTACAGCACTTACATGCTATATTTTGTTGCAATCTGTACCGAACTAAACAGAAGTGTACACGCAACAAGTTGTGGTTTCAAGGGGGTAATTTGTCGACTATTTTAGTTTCTACACTTTGAGTTTTATATGGATTAAACAAATAAGATAGAACGCGTTAATTTGGAAGCACCAGGCTAACTTTTTTCGCCATGTTTCTAATCTTTATCATAAGCTAAGCTAACCAGATGCTAGCTTCAGCTTTATATTTACCCTACCGACCTTACAGTGGTATCGATTTTTAACCTTCTTAGCTCACAGCAAGAAAGTGTATTTCCCAAAATGTTTAACTGTTTCTGTAAGTTTATTAAAGTTGTGTTTGTTGTTCCTACCTGAACAAGAAAGCTTAAGAACCAAACACACACACGTTTCCTTCTTAAATCACAAAAATCTTACAGATCTTACAAATCTTTTGGATGAGATTGTTGTTTGTTTCTACTCCGCAGCCCACATCAGCTGTAAAAATATTTAAATGCTGAAATAATTTGAATTATTTTGAAAACTGTTGAAGACTTCATGTTTAGTGTTAATTCCTGATTAGCCCAGTACAGTTGAATGAAAAATCTTCTGAAGGTTGATTGGTTCACAGTGTTGTTATTTTATGTTTAAATCCTGACAACACTCGTAATTTTGAGTGTCATTTATGTCTTGTGTTGGTGTATCTCCGTAAACCGCTTCACCGTGGCCCCTAACAGCGTTGATAAGTTCAGCTAATGCAAATCAGGGACTCTGAAGTGCTTTGTAGAAGCCTACGGCCATAAACAGGAAGATCTGTTCAGTGTGGATCCACCACATAGGGATAAGTAGAACTGTGTTAATGTAAAATTAAATCTTACCATTTTGTTCATATGTCATGTTAATTGACTATTTTTTTGTTGATTCAGTGCAAAAACACATTTCATTTGTGTTGCTTTCTGTATCGGATTGTACAACTGCAGGCGTCACTCTGTTGAACGTACACTGCACTCGGCGGTCACAAACTGAAAAGCCAACTTGTTTCTGACACACTCAGAATGATTGTAAAAACCTGCATTTAAATTTGTGAATAAAATGTAACATCTGCTTTTACAGTTAAACTTTATGGGCTGTCTCGTACCTTTTATACGGTCAGTGTTGTACTTAAGGACCCCATAAACATTTTAGAGTGTCTTAAAGTCCAACTGAAATGAAATGCTCCAGCATGCATAGCATAGCTATAAATCTCTTAGAGAAATTCTTTTTTTATATTTTGTAGTTTCATGTAGGTACTGTTGTCCCAAACCTATCTCAAAGATTGGTATCATGGCCAATCAATGCCTTTATTATCTGATCAGTATCAGCTTTATTGAGCATAAACCTAACTCCAATCCTTTGCTTTAATGGGTAGAAAACGTTTTAGAACTGGTCCAGTACATCGCCTCAGCCGGCTACAGCTAATCGGGCTAAAATGTAATCCTTGAATCATCAAAGAACGTCCAATGAAAGTGCTCGTTATTGCCAGTGACAGGCTGAGAACAGGAGTGGCTGGTCAACCAATGCCTCGTTCAGTTAGTTTTGTTGGGATTACTCCTTTTGAGTGTTTGAGTTTTACTGCCATGAACAGCTCATTCTAAAGTAACAAAAACACAACTATTCTTATACTTAGATGACTGTACACTAACATACCTATGAATATTATATTTTTGCCAATAGATCTTCCTAAATGTTACACACTGGACCTTTAAGTGATTTGGATTGGAGCGTAAAAACTTGACAGGACATCCCTTGTTAGCACCCTCTAGATTTGCATTAATTCTCTGGAATACTGTTCCAATTTGATACAGCCAATCAAATGTTGCATAAAGCAGTAACATCAGATTTCTATCATAGGCAGAGCACAGAACACAGTCAGACTGACCAACAGCCTGATACACTGTAACAACACAGTATCAGGAGAGGAAGAGTCCGACTGGTACATCCTTAGTATGAAACCAGTTAGTTTAAAGCTTACTCCAATGATGGGAATAAGTGAGTCAAGCTGTATTTGTTCCTAAAGGAAGCTGATGGTGTCCAAAGGAAGCATTTCCACCCCTGTGGTACAGCGACTTCCTCCAGCCTGACCAACCTGTGTGGAATGCATGCTGAAACCCTCCGTTCCAGATGTTATCTCTTAATACAGGGGTTTCTGCAGGTTTCAGCAGGTTGAGGAAAAGACCTTTTAAAGACCTTGATGAATCAGGGCTCCCACTCTTCCTAAGGAGAAATCATTTTCCAGGAGTTTTTCTTTACATCACAGGACAGCTCAAACGGTGCTCAGCCATAGGTTTATGGAACATTTTGTGTTAGCTCACGTTTGTGACCGTTCCCAGCAAATGTTTCCGCTGTCTGAATGAACTACAGCTTTCCTCTGACTAACATTAATTTGGCCACAGCACAGGCTAACATACATTTAAACATTTCCAGGACAACAAAGATATTTGGTCATTTGAATCAATCCAGATGTTTCCATGACTGGAATACTAGACTCTCAATTTCCAGGTTGTCCTATTTAATGTCCATACTGGGAAGGAAGGTTCAAAGCATGTGAAAGAGAATCAATATTGGCTCCATGTCTGTTTGGTTGTGTAGCTGTTACAACATGATCAATACGTCAGTGACATTTTAAGGCCTACAATTCAGATTATTAGGTTTTAGACTTTAAGGCTCTGCAAACACCCTGTAATAAGTCAGATAACCTTTCCTCGTTGTGACAAAAAGAAATAATTCTTCACAGACAGATCAGAGTTTGTGGCTTTTACTCAAAGAAATACAAACTAAGAGGTTATGTGTTTTAAATAAATTTATAAAAAAAAGCATTTACCCACTGAAGCAGAACAAACACCTATCACTTGTTTTTCCTCGTGTAACATAGAATACAATCTGAATAGACTGTTTAGTAGCCTGAACAGAATAAAATTAATCAAGCAAAGAGACTGCCAACTTCAACACAAAAGGTAACAAACAGCCCGTGATGACAGGGGGGAGAAAAGAAACAGAGCAAATGAAAATACAAAAGGAAAACAAAAAAACAAAACAAAACAAAACAACTAAGAGGGTTAAGTGCAGCACTGGTCAGAATCATATAGCGTAGATTCAGTCTAAATTTTCTTCAGTTCCATATTCAGATAATCTGCTCAAGTACATTGTCTCTAGATCCGTAACATGCAAGCTCGATAAAGCATATGGTCAAATACGCATGGGAATATACTTTTTTATCTCATAGGATATTTGTAAAATATGAAAAAATCTGTAGATGTGCAGTGATAAAGAAATTTCATTTGCATGAATGAGCAGAAAAAAACCGAACATCCACTCCATAGATAGTGTTTTCTTTAAAAAGGAAAAAAGGAGACTACATTCATTTCACTGAACAAAGAGTCCACGTACAAAAACAACGGAAGGAAAGAAAAAAACGATTCCCAAAATGTTGTGATGTTTAAATGTTCTTAAAGACCCCACTTATAGCTTTTAGTTATCTTAATTATTACTAGATAGTATCTGTGCCTTGGGAAACGGAGAAACACTCAAAAAAGATCCAAAGATACACTTGTACAACAGAATACTGCATATCTACTCACGACTGGGTTAGGTAGGTCGACATGGAGGCTAGCTGCCGAAGATGGGAATGTCCACACGTACATACACACGCTTCCCTTTGCGGAATACACTACTGGTGATTTCACTTGGTTGCTTTTTCTACCCGACACAGTTAAGCGCTTGTCTGTAATGCTACCAGGATGAGGCTCCTTTCCGTCTTCCAAGGGAGCGCCGGGACTCCTCGCTTGTCCGATAAGTCATTTCTGATCTGGAAATGTGGGTTTTTTTTCTTCCTGTGCTTCGTCTTGCCGTCTGGGTCTCGAACTTCTGGGGATTCACAGTCGTTAGCAACTCTTTGACTCCGTTTTCAATTTGGTCTTTTTAAGTTTTTGCATCTTATTTCGTGGTCTTAAATATATGGAAGAAGAATTGGGGGTGGGGGGAGAGGGGTTAGGGAAGAGGTTTTGAACATTCTGTAGTCCCGCAGGTGTTTTCCGCGTCTCTTCTCTTTTTTTTGGCACCTTGGAGTAGATGATAACTGGGTATGGAGGGGTGAGAGTGAGGAAGGGGGTGAGGCTCAATGCGTACAGGAGAGCAGGGGGTCAGGAGGCGGACCGGGTGGGGAGGCTACTTGTCACCGATCCGTTCACTGACCGGCTCTCCGGCTCTGTCCGTGGTGCCGTTGTTGTTGGCGGTGTTGTTGTTGTTGTTGTTGTTTTTGGCTGTGTCACCCCCCTCTTCCCCCTCCGTTTTCACCCTCTTTGATTCGGGTTGGTCTTGCAGTTCTCCGTTCTGCCTCTTGGTGGGGAGGGACGCCGAGGCCGAGGCGTGGGCCGCCAGGAGGTGAAGAGGGTTGGCGACGGCTGGTGGAGAGAAGAGAGGATTCGTTAAAAAAGACTAGTGCCGCTGTATGAAGGGATGCAAATAACAATTATTTTCATTATTAATCAATTAGTTGTTTGGTCCAGAAGCTGATGTCCTCAAATGTCTTTAGTTTACGGTCATAGAGGACTGAAGAAAGCAGAAAATATTCACATTTGAGAGTTTTGAATTCAGAAAATGGCGGCAACGATTCATCGATTGTCAAGGTAGGTGTCGATTCATTTAATAATCGACTAATGCTTGCAGCTCTAACTGTATGGAGGCTGACGTGTGCCACAAAGATCAGTCCAAAACTTGGTTGTTTTATGGACCTATGATTGATCGGACCCCACACAACTCCTGCCACCACAGAACAAGCAGCCAATCAGAGCTCCTGTTGCCGCTCTGTGGGTTGATGACAAACACGTCTTCCATGTCTTTAAACAGAAGTGACTGCTATAAGGCAGACACATCATTAAAATGGTAGACTCATTGATAAGTTGACGGACGGAAAATTATTTGGCGACTAATCTGATAATAAGTTAATTAAATGGTTTTTAAAAATGACAGGCATGTTCGTACAAGAGATAGACAGTGTGCAGGACTTTTTTGGTTCTTTAATCAATAAAATGATGATCAATAAAAAATGTATAAAAATAATTGTTAGTTGGAGCTAAACCTTCAGTTAAAGCCTTCTTAAAATTTTATTTTATTCAATTATTATTTAATCATTTAAAGACAGAAGAAAGAAATAAAATGTAAAAATTTAAATCATCAAATTGTATATAAAATTGGATTGTGTATAAAAATATATGTGTAACGTATTTTTGGGGCTTTTTATGCCTTTATTTGATAGCGACAGCCAAGACAGACAGTAAAGGGGAGAGAGAGAGAGAGGGGACAATGTGCAGCAGAGGTCTACGGGCTGGAATCAAACCCGGGCCACTGCAGTACTAGGTGAGCTAATTCTATCTGCAAACTCTAGTTGGATAAAAAGAGGTGACGTCCTGAGAACAGGCCAAACAAGACTTTGCGACGCTGCTGCAGCTGGGCCAAACAAAGCTAAAGTAGTTGAAGAGGAGCCTTTTTCCACTGTACACGTAACCCCAGACTCTTGTAGTCATGTGATGTTGATTTGAGGGGATTTTCCCAATAAAAAGTGTATAAATAACAGCTTGTTCAGTTTATAAAGAGCCAGTATGTGTCTGCTTGGATCTGAAAGTTCTGTTCGGCTGAATTCACTGGCCCCTCCTTTACCGCGATGAACGCCCCAGTCTGTGCCTCTCACACATACTGTAACTGCTGGTAGCGTTAGCATTAGCAAGACTGATCAGTGCTTACTTGTCTGCAGTGGCAGTAAACACAACACACGATCCTGCTGATAACTGTTCTATATTAGGAGCTATTAAAGATATTTAGGGCTGACACACAGTAACACCAACCACAACAAACAACAGGGCTGCATCTATTTACTGACACTCCCCCCCCACACACACACACACACACACACACACACACACACTCTAGAGGGCCTCTCATAATAGAGCTACAACAACAACAACAGGTACCCACACAGTGACTGTCTCAAAAAGGACACACATGTGCCTCTAGTGACTGTCAAAGCTCCATCAGACACACACGTCTCTGCCCACGCAGCACTGAGCGGGGATCAGTCAGTGGCTGTGTCTCCTGACCCTCCATGTCACACACTGTGTTGCCTCGAGCCCCCCCTTCAGTCGCTGCCTCTCACACCTCTGTAGCATGTTTTCAGTATGCTGGGGAGGGAGGGGTTCTAGCAGAATTTAAGTGTGTAGTTATCCTTTGAGGTCGCTTTGGGCGAGGTTACGTCACTGAAGCTCAGTTGTGTGTCAGACGGAGCGCAGACCTACTTAATAATCAGACCCTATCATGTGGATCAAGGCTGAAACATCCTTCTGCAAACAGACGTCACCTAGAGCCTTGCATTTGCCAGTTGCTGCTGCATGTAAATTCAGTGCTGGGAGTCTACATGGTAGGAGACCATACACTGCAGTGCAAGGGGAGCAGTAAAGAATGTGGCTGTCTTTTTAACACAGACAGCCTAGTACAGAGCATACCTAAATACACCACCGAGGCTTGCTCAACTGTTACTGGAACACAGAGCAAAAAGGGGCAGACTTAGGAAGGAATGGAACTGAATGGAAACATGACTTTTGTTTGTTTACATGAAAACTCCACAGGGCCTCCTCTTAAGTGCTTCGTTAGACAGGTGGCTGCTGGGAGAACAGGGCCTCAGGAAAGATTTTTCAATGGGCTTCCACTGGTCTGTCTGTTTGTGTGTGTATGTATGTGTGCGTTACCTGTGCTAGCAGCGGTACCGATGGGGACCAGATGGGTCCCGTTCTGTGTGATGGCCTTTATTGGGAGCTGGTGCTGGCCGAGCGGGGCTTGTTGCACGATGGTGACCGTCGTCAGAGGAGCAGCCTGAGAGCTCTGGATGATGCGACTGACTCCACCTATAGACGAGGCTGTGATGGATGGGACCGGCTCCACTTTGACTACACACGGGGAGAAAAACTAAATATTAACTCACTTCACACACAGTCACCCCATAATGCTTCATGGCTACACACCAACACTGATGTCCACAGGAGGACTCGGGTCTCACCTTTGATCTCTTGGTGCTCTCCGCCTCCGTTCTCCTGAGGTTCCGTGCTCACTTTAGTGGCGGGCTGTCCGGCAACAGTTGCCATAGTGACGGCTGGGATCTGGTGGACAACGTGCACCGTCTGCATGACGGGGGCGGAGCCACCTGCTGTCGTTACTATGGTTGGCGTCGCCATGGTGTAGGTCACAGGCTTCATGGTCGTTTGAGGCATCTGGCGCTGCACGGCGATCAATACTGGCTGGTTGTTGAGGGGGGAGCCTATCAGAGGGCAGGGCTACAGGTTACTGACACACTCTTTACTGTGCCGTCATTAAAACGGACAGAGACACACATAAATACTTATTGATACGGGCTTCCATGTCAGCCCTTCGGCCAAGACGTGATCAGATTAAAGCTTGAAGGTCGTTTTACCAGAGGAGTTCTGTGCAAAGCGAGCCTCTTGGATGACTGCGAGTTTGGGCTGGACTGTAGTGGTTTGGCTGGGGGCTGGCGGCGGGGTTGGCTCTGGCTCCATGGGGACTGGGGACCCCTCTCTAGACAGGCTGTCTGGGGTCTGGACCCCACTGGAGTGGGCAGACAGTGCCCCTGTGTGGTTGGGAGAAGCTGGAGCGCTCCTGGGACAGGAAAAGAAATAAGGATTACTGACAGATATTGTAGCCCCACAAACTCAGACACCGTACTGAAGTTGAACACATCTCTGAGGTAACACACTTCAGATTAAAGTACCTGGAGGAGAGAGGTCCCACAGGGGTCCTGAAGCAGGGCACTCCCCTGGGCCTGCGCTTCCTGAAGGCTTGTTCTATCAGCTTGCCTTCGGAGGCGGGGTCGATCCTCCAGAAGGAGCCTTTGCCCGGCTCCTCCTGAGAGCGGGCCACTTTGATGAAGTACCGGTTCAGGGACAGGTTGTGGCGGATCGAGTTCTAAAACACCCATAATTATAGACACACACGTAGCGTTACTAAAATCTGCTTAGTAGCATTTGTGCTATATGATGTTAGAATATTGCTTGGTGTTTTGGTTGTGTGGATGGAGCAGTAGCACTTCTGGGGACAAAAACAGGGTTATAATACACTGTCTGAGTTTAAGAGAATACAAGTATGTTTAGATAACACATTTTTCAGTGTTTCTGCTTCGTGTGCTCAACCGGCCAGACAACGATGAGACTTCACATCGCAAGGAAATTAACAATCTTGCAGAGTGGTGCTCAGAGAACAACCCCCTTTATATTAAAATCGACTACAGTTTGAAATATCAAGAAGATTAAACTTTGCTGAGGACCAGACTACATAAACCAAGTAAACCAAAAGAAATATAACACTCGTAAGACTCTAAAACCTCGACTCTGACCTGTTAATAATTCCTGAACAACGGACTGACTAACATGCACGTATGAAGAAGGCAGGTTGTAGCGTCCTGTAACATTATTCTCTAGGCTGAGTAAGACCACATATCCACATAGAGTAACACTCATATATCATTAGTTATTACTATGGCCTGAATCTGCAGTGAGAGGCTGCCTAAGCGCTGTGGGGAGAAGGACTCGCCTTCCGCTCTGGATTTGTCTCGTTACACTAGTCAACACTTTCAGGTGCAGGGGTGGAAGTAACTAACTACAACTACTCCTGTTAATGTAATTAAGTCGGTTTTTGGTTCCTTTTACAATTTGATTTCTATCCTTCTGCATTTTTGTTGGCAATCAGCATAAACACACATGAGGCGTAAGTGCCGTGAGAGACCCCGTAGAGCTGCCTGTTAGCTGGCCGGCTCGCAGTCCGTACTAATCGTTTAGGCATCTGTTCAGTTTTTTCTGCCTAACACGGGCGAATCTGGTATGAAAACACACTGGGCCAATAAAAACCAGCAGGCACAGGTTTGAAGGGAAGAATTGGAGAAACAGAAACCAAATAGAAACAGATTAGGCTGGTTGTTTCTGTAGGAATTTATGCTAAATACTGTGTTCTACACAGGTACAAAAACATTTCACTTTAAACATGTATTAAAAAGTATACTTTTCAGTCCAAGACTTCAGTTGAACAATGTCGGCACGCAGTTTGACACTAATCCTGGTCCATTTTCGCTGTAACTAACAAGGAGACGACGCTCCATCAGCTTAGCCAACTAGCATGCTGGAGCTGATACACAACAACTGGTTCACTGCGAACACTCTTGCTCTACAGTTCCAGCGTGAGTAAGTGTGTGTATATTTTCAAACAGCTGGTACCGCGAAACTGGAAGATGGAACCGCGACTCGAGGCCGTGGATGTTTGTGTCACAGTTTATGTTTGTGTCGCGGTTTAAGCCCCGGTTTCAACACGCCTATCCAAGACCAAATTTACATTGACATAAAAACAGAGAATCCTTTTATTGGAAAACTGGACCCTGCCAGCATAAATGCTTGGGCAAGTTACTGATTATAGAAGAATAAATGTTCAATTGTATTTTATGTTTAAGTTGACGAATCGATGAATAATTTCAGCACTACATGCATTTATAACTAACACTTATCCTACTGTCCTTATTAAGAGAATAACTGAGATGTGTATGCAATACCATTCAACCACATACATACTGTAAGTATCAACAATAGTGCCAAATTTAAGACTGACCTGCCAGCCTTTATCAGCTGTTCTGTAGTAGGGGTAGTTCTTGGTGATGTGGGTGTATATTCCATTGAGCGTTAGCTGTTTATCCGGGGCCATGGTGATAGCTTGGACTATTAGTTGTGCATATGAGTACGGAGGTTTGGAGTCATCCTGCGGAAAATAAAAGACAGATTAATTCATGTGGTTTTGGAAGTCAATGTGTTTGGTCAGTGACATACAAGGCAAGTCACATGTTTTCTCTCTATTTCTCTCGGCATGAACACACCCGGACATTTGCAAAGTTCAACCAGGTGCTGTACTCCAAAGTCTATGTTGTTGTGAGCGTTGGGCAATTTTTAGACTTCAATGAGTAACCAGGGATGTTCACAGTGCTCACACACTCCACACATCCACTGAGATTCTCTGAAGTCTGCTGCCTTCATAACACACCCTGGTGTTTGAGATACCCTCTTTAATTCCAGTCTAAAATGAAGCTGACGCTAACAGTATTCATCCACAGTCTCACGGCCCAGTTCTCTGGTCCGCACTGCGCCCCTCTCACCTTTGGGCTGTCTTCACCTGAGGCTTCTTTGTCGTTTTCTGATTGGGAGTTGTCTCCTATTAGGTCAGAGGCCAGAACGCGACCAGTCCTGTAGCTGGAAAGTCCCGCCCCACGTGGACTTGATGGACAGGAGTTTGCCGCACTGTGAAGTTGATTAAGAAAATTTGTAATTCTAAATTCATGTCTGGAACACTGATAAGACACTTTAATTAACATTTAAACAACACTGTCTTTGAACCCCACCATCAACCCAGTCTCACCTGATGGTGCCGGTAGGCGAAGGCAGCGGGCTCATGAGGTGGGCGATGTTGTCAGGAATGTTGATGGTCAGGGGGGAAATTTGGGGTTGGACGGGCTTGACCGGTGATTCCGGCACGTTCCTTGGCTCCTTCTTGTCATTGGACAGGGCTGTGAACGTGATCTTTATACTGGTGCTAGGGAACCTAAAACAACACCTGAGAACAAAAGACAAGCACAGACAAAAACAAAAAAACAGAAGTGTGTGTTTAATGTCTACACATGTCCATTTAATTTAGTATCTGTCTACATTTGAACACCAAAATAAGTGGGAAACGCAATGCTTATTACAATGCCACTGTACGGACGATCCCCCTGCCTGGCAACAGGGAGGTCTAACTGAGTCCTAGAGAGGAACACTGAGATTCAGCCTCACACAGTTTAAATATGGAAGTCCACCATGGCCATTATGTAACACATCATGTCTGACATGTATAATTTATTATTAATAAGGTATATTTGGACCAGTTGCTGACACCTTGAATGACTTTATGGCTTGGTGACAAGATGGCAATTCTTACCTACACATTTATGAATGTAAAGTGTGAGTTAGGTACCACAACAACAGTTCAATGGGAGTTTTTTGGGGCATTACAACTGAAAGAATTAGAGGCTGACAAATAAGTAGAGCAGTGTAAACATGATAAACATGAGGCCAAACTGTCATTGAGCCAGATCAAATGAACTACAGCACTAACCTTAGCTTGGTAGTTCCTGTTGTAAACACTATGCTGCTGGTAAAAATGGTGTTGTACCTAACATATGACAACTCTTGCTAAGTGAAATATACGTGCGTTACAGCAGGTGAGAAACATTAGCCATGAAAGCACAACTATTAGCCAGTGTTGCTAGCATGTAAGGTGGGACAGCAGCAGTTGAGCGTTAGCCCAAAATACAAGAACTTCAACAGAACTCAAACCAAACTCCATTACGAATTCGATCATTTTAATGTTTCTTACTTTGCCACCAGTAAAGACCAACATTGGGGGACACGTATGTAGACAGTTTGTAATTTTTAGGGCCCACTCTGCAATTTGGCGCGTGTAAAGATACAAATAAATACAACTAACTTAGCTTCCACATAATGCAAATGGGTGAATAATTAATACACATAGCTGTAGCTAATTCTTAGCTGAAGCATGACTGCCTGACGTCTCACTGACGTCTGCTTGATGGACTGTATATATGCCGAATAAAAGAGATTCCCAAACAATTAACAAAAGGTCATCAATCAAGTTAAATGTGTTTTTGTATTTGGCACTAGAGCGACGGCATGTTTCCACTAGCGTATTTCACATGGAGATTTGGTGTGACGTTATCGCCATACAAACGAGCAGCACGTATCAGCCTTGGTGTTGCTTGACACAGCACGTGCAACATCGCTGCAGGACAACAAAACAATAACAACACATTAAGACATAAATCCGCAGATTGTGTTCAGTCCAAGCCAGCTGGCAATATCAATCTTACATTCGTGGAAGCTGAAGAGGTGGAGCCCCTCTTCTCTGGAACACCCCATCAACAAACACCCCGTTTTTTCCGAGGCATCGGAGATAGAATTCCCCCGTGCCTGTGCCATCTTCTCCGGCGGTGAATATTTCGAGGTGCCGCCGGGAGATGAAGCTGGAGTGTCCCATGCTGACGTCCACGGAGCCCTGCGAGGAGTTCCGGCCGATGGTGACCGACCTTTTCTTTATCAGATACTCGAATTCTCGGCCCTCCAGCCGGGCTACAGCCGACCCCGACATCCCGCTTACCACCGCCATCTTCAGAGCTATCTGGTGGAGATTTGGAGACGTGTGTGAAGCGGAAACGTAAAAACGGTTGCAGGGAATTTAAGAGGGGATATTTTTTGGTTTTGTGAAAAAAGGGGGGATCCAATTTTACACCGTGGAGAATTTGGCTAGGAACGTGCCAGACCGGGGACACAGCGGCTCCGACCCACCGCCGCGAAGAAGAGGAAAAAAGAGGAGCGTCGGCCAATCAAAAGCGGCCAAACGGACGGAAGTAGTGCGATAGACAATCCTTCCAACCAATAGGAATCCGGTCTGGGTAGGCAGATGTGTGGTGTTTACCAATGACAACAATAATAAAAATAGCCGTAGAAGTAGGCTCGGTTGCAGCGCAGGCTGACACGCAGATGGATGGAGAGATGTAAAAAGCGGTGCAGTGATTTCAGGGAGGGGATTGGATTTACACAAGACCAGAGGATGAACATAGGTTACATTTATCCTGTCTCTGCTCAACCTTCAATTCTTTCTCTAAACTGACAGAAGACCAGCTGTAATGTTTGTCGACCATTATAATAAAATAAGTCTTATAATAGATGATACCACCAAACTTCAAAGTATACATCAAGAATAATTAGTTTCAGGCCAAACACGTGGACTGTTTTGGTAGACCCAAATGTCAACTTCTTAAACCCTTCGTGACTTATTTTCTGGCCACTTGGGGGCAGCAGAAACAAGCTGTAAACAGTGACATTATATCACCTTATACAGTTGATACAACAGAGGCACCCCATGTCTAGACCGCAAGCATCACGTCAATAATGCGTTTGTGTGGCGATACACAAGACACTGAAGTGTCTGTCTATACAAAAAAAATTTAAGTCAAAGCATTTTGACTGCCCCCTGGTGCCTGGTTGCAGAATAGGTCATAAACCCATCCCCTCCCCCTGGGACATGTGCCTGACTAAAACAATTACACATCAAATAAAAATTTCCCAAAAGGCAGTTTAGGTAGTTCCTATCACACTGGTGTATGTTCAGTAGTTCATTTTTCTGATGAATTTGGTTTTAATTAGTTATTTGATGCTACTAAAAGGGGCCTTTACATCATATTTGACAGCTGAGTCCTGCTTGCAATTGAGTCAGCCAGCTGACTGGCTCCAAATTACATCGCAGTGCAAGATGGCAACACCTGTAGCAGGGATATTTTGGCTGACATTCTAGATATGCCATTGTTTATTGCCCACAATACAGGTGTAACATCAATTTTAAAAAAAAATTAAAAAAGGGATATTTTAAGGGATATTTTGGTTTAATTTTTGTGCATTGGAAGGGAGGGAAGACGTGTCGTCCCTCTATATATGCCGATGGTCTATGGTCTATAGCGGTTCACATGGTTTGATGAGTATAAAAAGGATGTGAATCATATGCTGTGGCCTTAACAGTCACCATCCCACCCCCAATATTCCACAATGTTATGGGGCTTCAGCAGTGCAAGTGATGTCAGGTGAATGGATCACTGATTCTTAAATTAGTATCACTGAGGGGGCTCAATGCGGTGCCAAGCAGTACTATATATTTGGTAGAGGCTTAAAAGATGTCCCTTCAGTTCCAAAAAAAAGAAAGATAGAAAGAAACCTAGGGTGTGGGGACACCAGGGTCCTTGAGGGGGTACCCAGAAAAATGGAGAATATTTTAATTTGATTATCATTTCATTGACTAAAGGTTATCACAGTGAGAGAATGTATAAGAATGATTATTCTGTTCATAGCTTTTACTCTCTTCACTTAATCTGCCAATCTACAGTATCAACAGTTATGGATTAACTCAATCTTATCAGACAGGGACCTGGAGACCGCTGCCAGATGTGTATACATTTGGGTGTCCACCAAGAAGCTTCAGAACCACTGCAATACAGTATATCATATGACATATGTAATACCACATATCAATAAGTAGTCCTATGTAGGCCCAAAGGGAACTCCCATTGAACCTATATATAATTTTTCACATATGCAAAAGGACGAAATGTGTGAATTAAAGACACATGAAGTAACATGTTTCTGAATTTGGGAACAGTTGTTTGATAAAAAAAATCTTGAAAACTAAAGGTCCACTTACAAGCTTTTTTCTGAACTTTTAACCACATCTTACAGTCTTAAGAAGTTGTCATGGTATCACCTGACCAAAGTCCCATGGGTCATGTGATGATAACTTAGCTATCAAACCAAGTGTGCAAACTTTATCTACTGATGAAGACCATGAGATGTGGTTGAAAGCGCTAGAGAAAAGTTCGTAAGTGGACCTTGATTTATGATTTGAAAACCTGTCCTGTAACTGGCCTCCAGAACTGTATACGCAGACACACACAATACATATTTATATCACAATAAATAGTTTGGCATATTGTTAATGCATTCATGTAGATGTCATGTAGGGTCTTCAGTAAACCAACACTGACCATATGTGTAGGCTACCGCATGAATCCGGTTCTGTGCAGGGAGCATCCGGCCAGGGTTTCCATGCAGCGGGTTAGTTTACTAACTGTAGTACAGCGGCCACCACGCTGCGAGCTCAGTGTATGGAGGTCGTGTTAAATAATGCATGTGAAGTCCCTCAGACTGTGTTGACACTGCCACAGAGACTCACTGTGATTCTCACTGAGCCACAGTCTGTCAGTGTTCTGGTGCCAGTGCGCGCCGCTCATTGACACTGCACCCATATAAAGCGACCGTGCTGCACCGAGCAAAGCCATGCGCCATGCAACACGTGTACCCTGACAATGACGTAATCATATCTCACCGAGCTGCATTCAGGACTGATACAGTGTACAGGAGGGTTATGAATTACTATGTCTATGTTGAGACAGCTTTAATAGATATAAAAAATAATAATTCTATGTCTGGATCATAATTATAATCACAGTGATGTGCTACACAGATATTATTGTAACTTTTGCAAAATTATATACAATACTGGCAAAATAATCTCAACTCAAGGGCCCTTACTTGCTTTTTTNNNTTTTTTCAACCTTACTTTATGGCCTTCACCAGTGAGTTTGTTCAGCTGATAATATAAAATACATTATAAGATATAAGATAATATATATTGTAATCATACAGATCATATATATATATATATATATATATATATATGTATATATATATATTTTTATTATTTATTC